TCTAGAAACAGCGAGGAACTAGCCCCTGCCGCGTTGGCCCTGCCCCCTGGGTGCATGCTGGGGAGGTATCACCCTTTGTGAGGAATGAAGAAATGGACCATGCCTTGGCACTTGCCCCCGTCCCACCCCATTCTGCCAGAGACCCTCAGATCTGTCCCACTCCTGCCCAGGCCCCCACAGGCACCCTTGACCCGAACGATGTAGAGCTGGCCACGCCCACCTAGTAGACCACACCCACTCCATCCACACCCACCCAATAGGCCGCACCCACTCTGGCCACCCCCCCCCCCAGGGCAACCGCAATGCTGATGCGGCCCTCAATGAAATTGGGGGGGGGAGACATGATAGCAGTATTCCAATATCTCAGGGGCTGCCATAAAGAAGAGGGAATTAAGCTATTCTCCAAAGCGCCTGAAGGCAGGACAAGAAGCAACTGGTGGAAACTAATCAAGGAGAGAAGCAACCTAGAACTAAGGAGAAATTTCCTGACAGTTAGAACAATTAACCAATGGAACAACCTGCTCCAACACTGGAAGTTTTTAAGAAGAGACTGGACAGCCATTTGTCCGAAATGGTGTAGGGTTTCCTGCCTGAGCAGGGGGTTGGACTAGATGACCTCCAAGGTCCCTTCCAACTTTACTACTATTACTATTACCTCTGCTATAGGTCGTCCTGCTTAAGCAGGGGGCTGGATTAGAAGACCTCCAGGGTCCCTTCCAGCTCTATTCTATTCATCCCAGCAATGCATTTTGCAGTCATCGTTCATGACAAAAACTGTGCATGCCCTTAAAAAAGCAGTCCAAAATACCGCAACGTGCAAAGGCCCCAAATTTCCTGCAACCGATCTCTCAAATTTCTGGCCTGTTGCCTTATTCTCAGGGTTACTATGCCAACGCTCCAGGCCATTCATAAATTGGCAGGGCCCAGTTCAAAACTGGCTGGAGCTGGTTTTAGGGATAGAGAAAGGGAAGGCCTTGTTCCTGGGAGAAACCATTCTGGCAAAGCAGGGAGGAAAGACGGCAAGTTCCTAAATTTGAAATGTTGGCAAAACAAAGAGAATTGGAGAATTGAGCCTGCCGTAGAAAATTATACCTACGAGGAGGTTGGTTGCAATACATTAGAATATTAAGCCGCCACACACCAACGTTATTGATGCAGTGAAAACAGGCAGGTTTTCGTTAGGAGGATAAATCCATTCTACGCAGTATCCAGGCAGATTAGGGGCCCAAAAGATGAAAATGTTTGTTTAGCGGCCTTTCTCCACTGCATTCCTCCCTTTTTCATCCAAAGCCCAAGCTTGCATGCTTTTGTGACGTCTTGGAAAGCTATGTGAGTCAATGGGAAAATTTGAACAAGAGGCAGGAGATGGATAGGATGCAAAACCTGTCAACCAGAGGGGCCATTTTTGTTAGCCAATTTCCTAGCAGAGTTATGCACGCATTTCTGTTCATAGGTTCAAATGTGGGATGTAATAAAAAAAAAATCAAAATCGGAATCGAGCTGAAAGAGACCTTGGAGTTCTTCTAGTCCAACCCCCTGCTCAAGCAGGAGATCCTATACCAGTGATGGCGAACCTTTTAAAGACTGAGTGTCCAAAAATTGGCCCTACCCCTGCCCCGTCTGCCCGCAGGGCCACTCACCACCTCCAGGGCCTGCCGCAGATCGCCCAGCAGCGCCATGGCGGCCATGCCCTCTGCCTGCACCCCACAGCATCAACTGTGCAGGATGGGGTGTGAGGGCAGTCTTGGCAGAGCTGCTCCGTGTGAGCCACGCTCAGGGATGACTCTCCTTCAGGGGGGCTGCTGGTGAGGAGGGGGTCGTGGGGGGAGGCGAGGCTGGGGCAACGGCATGTGTACGCACAGAAAGGGCTCTGAGTGCCGCCTCTGGCACACATGCCATAGGGTCACCACCACTGCCCTATACCATTTCAGATAAGTGACTGTCCAGTCTCTTCTTAAAAACCTCCAGTGATGGAGCACCCACAACTTCTGGAGGCAATCTGTTCCATTGGTTAATTGTTCTCAGTGTTAGGAAGTTTCTCCTTAATTCCAGGTTGCTTCTCTCCTTGATAGTTTCCATCCATTATTTCTCGTCTTGCCTTCCGATGGAAAATAAGTTGACCCCCTCTTCTTTGTGGCAGCCCCTCAAATATTGGAATACTGCTATCATGTCACCCCTAGTCCTTTTCTCTAGAGTAGCCATATCTAGTGTCTGCAACTGTTCTTCATGTTTTAGTCTTATATTTATTATATATTCATATGTTTTATACCGATGCATCCATTTCTGAATCAGTCTCTCTGTAAAAACAGGCCACTGTGCTAATCCACAACATAAATGCTGTGTCAGAAGTAAGTCTTCATCCTGTTTCATCCAAGCTGGGAATAAATAGGCAACATGGAGACTGCTTTGGGAAGAAGGTTACAGTTTATTGAAGAAGCAGAAAGATGGTACTTGCAGGAAGGAGCAGAGGAAAGGAAAGAGAGAGCACATGGGCAGTAGGGTTTTTTATACCCTCTCTAGCCTTGTTTGGAATAGTTTCCTGTTCCTGTGGCATGAACCTTGAGGCTGTTTCTGAGTGTTTGTCTAGGCCTTGATATCTGTGGTTTAATCCTATTATCATATCCTGCTTCCCAGGTGATGGGGCTAATGACTCCTAGAGTTTGGGTGGGGTATGCAGATCTTCTCTTTGTCTTCTTGATTGCTCTGGCTCCAACTTTCTGATGGTTTTACCTCTGCATTTGTATGGGGCTAAAGTCTTGCTTGGGGCAGAGAGATAGATTTGGGGCCAGGTTTGGTTTTAAAAAGTCCTTTTGAGGAAAAATATATTTTTCTGCCCTTTTTAATATTTCTTTCTCTGGGCTAACTTCCCTCAGCTGCTTAAATTCCATGTCATCAATGAAATGAAATGCAAGCAACTCTTGAGGATTATAGTGGCAGAATGAGAGAAAGGAAGACAAGCCAGATGGCGCAAAATAGCATTTATTGCACATGGGAAACATAGCAAACATAGCCTACCTTGTCATCCTTGAGGAGCTGCCCCAGAGGCCACCACTAAAAGGCCCTGCCTGCTCCAAGCACTCCCCAAACCCTCCAATGCTGATCCCAGGTTATGCACGTATAAGCTGATTCAGGTGGATTTGTGGCTTTCTAGGTCAAAACAGCTACTTTCAGTAGCAATGAAGGAGAATATTTCTAGCTCAGGGCTGACATGAGGGTCCCTTAGTGCTCTCTGAGCTTTCTTTCTTGCGAACATTTCATTACCCTATCTACTATAGGTAACATCAACAGTACTGTCAGTTTATATTCTGGTGTCTTGCCTCTCTGGGTGAGTGGGGGCAGTCTTAGGGATTCTTTGGCTAGGCTGTTTACTGATGGCTCTGTGGCAGTTTCTTGATTGGGGTATTGCTTACTTGATTGTTGGTCTGAAGTTGACCTTGAAGTTAATCTATACCAGTGATGGCGAACCTTTTAGAGACTGAGTGCCCAAACTGCAACCCAAAACCCACTTATGCATTGTCGTGTGCCAGGTGGGCGTGGCCCATTGGGTGGGCATGGCCCATTGGGTGGGCATGGCTGCAGTGGTAATGGCAGACTGGGTAGGACTAAAAAGTTCAATCAATCAATTCCAACTTTGCAAGATCTTTTTTTCCACCAGAAGTTGAAATTGACTGATTGAACCTTTTTTTTTTTTTGCACACAGAAGTGGAGGCCTAAAGCAAAAAGATTTTATAAAACCCAACTGAAGGCCTAGGACTGGGGTGATGGTGCACATGCCCACAGAGAGGCTCTGAGTACCACCTCTGGCACCCGTGCCATAGGCTCGCCACCACTGATCTATACTGATATGAGTGCTGATTACTGATGGGGAGGTGCTGGAGTTTTTTTCTCTTTGGGGCTAGTTGATTGTCTCTTTTGCCTATTCTATAGATGGTGTTAAAAATCTATGTGTCTGTTGATGGCTGATTGTTGATGGCTGATTTGTCCCTGGAATTTTTAGACTTGGTCTGTTCTAGGATTGTCACATTTTCCCAATTAAAACTATGGTTAAATCTGTCTACATGTTGTGAAATTAAAGAATTTTCCTTATGCCTTCTGACGGTCAGTTGGTATTCATGGATGCATTCTGCCAGTCTTCTGCCTGTTTGTCCTACATAGTGATTGTTGCAGTTCTTACATTGTATGTTGTAGATGACTCCTGTTTTTTTCTTCTGGGGTTGCTGGGTCTTTTGATTTGCTTATAATGCTCTGAAGGGCTTTTGTTGGCTTGTGTGCTATGTAGATAAGTAGGCTTAGCAAGATCGGAGGCTGAGCTGCCAGATTTTTGCCCCAGCGCTGGCTAGAGTTTCGGAGCCCTTTTCAGAAGCGGAGCGTGCAAAACTGCACCAGGCGAAAAAGGGTGGACCCCCTCAGCCAGATCTTCTCCCCCTCCCGACCCGAACGAAAATGGGCCTGAAATGCAGCGACGCCTTTCATGGTGCTTCTGTCCTCTTAGAAGCAACCAATGCTGGATTCCCAGAACAGCTCAGAACTAGATCCGGAGTGTGCTAATCCCTGCGGTCTATAAATCCGTTTTAAATGCTTCTAGATTCCTTTGACATTTTATCCATAGGGTTGGTGGGGTTTTTTTTGGGGGGGCGCCTTTCAAAAAAGACGCCACCCCCGGTTCCACAACAGAGGCTCAAAAGGACAGCTTCTTTCCCTGATTTCTCTTCAATTCCCCCTCCCACTTCGTCCTTTGGTTGCGCCCAGGCTGTCGTCGTGATCTCATGCCCACCCAGCAGGTTGGGCTGATACCATTTCGATTCTGCGAGGGGGGGGAAAGCAGTTGGCTTTCTAAACTTCTTCCCGCGGAGCTGGAAGTATTATTTCCAAATAAAGAAACTTCGGGTGGAAGCTTGCATCGGCGAACAAGAGAGTCTTTTTTTTTTTTTAGAACGCAAGGCAATTAGCCTCATTCAAAGGACTCCCCTGGTCACCCCTATCATCTAAGATGGTGCTGCCCAAAAGGAAAGGGGAGGGGCGGGTATATTTGCCGCGAAGGGAGCGGCCAGGACAGGCGGTGAAGGCGACGCGGAGGGAGGTTGCTGGGAAGCTGCAGCGATGGCATCCAACGGTGAGAAGGCCAGGGGAGACTCATCGGTTTTCCGAAGAGACCGCGAACGGGATGCCGGGCTCTCCAACCGTTGCAACGGGCGGGGGCGCGCGCGCAGGGTTTTAGCATGATTTCAGCAGGATCAAGTCGCTAGTCCTCGTGGTCACCGGGAACGGGCCATGGGGCACTAGGGCAAATGGGCTTCCGTGGAGAGGCTTTACCACGGGGTGCCAAATCAGGGGGATGCATTGCGGGGGGGGGAGAAAGGAAGACGGACGTGCCTCGAACAGAACCCGGAGCAAAAGAGGACGCTTCGCCCTTTCATGCTTTTGGGTGGGACTGCTAGAAGAATCCGCGAGTGAGATTTCAGGGCTTCCGTTGAGGCGGGGCTTTGAGAGCGCGCAGGGCGGCCGAGAGGCGAGGCATCGGTCAAGATGAGGAGTCGGAGTCGCGTCTCTGCCCTGTTTATCGTGGGGAGTGGGACAAGCCGCCCCCTTTGACATGTGGATGGGGCGGTCAGAGCTCTCGACGTGAGGCTTTGGGCTGGTTTCTAGAGCCTGGCCTGTAAAGAGAGCAAGAGAGAAGATGCGGATGCTCTTACCGGGGAAAGGAGATTGAATGAATAACTTTTTCCCTGTCCGCGGAAGGGTTTGCGCATCACCATCGGTCTTAACTGCGCCATCCGCTGCGGCCATTTTAGGAAAGCGTGTGACCCGGGGGGGGGGCAGGGAGCAGAGAGAGAGAGAGAGAGAGAAACGGGGTTTCCGCGGAACTCTTGAGGGACAGGGACAACCACGCATGCGCAAGACGGAACGTTCGAAAAATCGGGGAGAAGCTGGCTTTTGAACTAGGCAATCGGGAGTACGCATGCGCTGCCTCGTCTAGCCTGGCCCGCGAGTCTGTGGGCCGACGGCGCGTGCGCGTAGAAGCTGCACTTTTTTTGTCGCAGTGGTACATCCGGGTTCTTCCTCCGGTTGCGCCTCTGAAAAGAGTTAGAATGCCGGCTCGCCCACGCGCCCTCAAACGGCTGCTTGGCCGCTGAGGGAGCGCGCGCTCCTCCCCGCCCGTTTTCCCTAGTGGGCTGTAAAAGGAGCTGCTGGGCTCGGCCCCAATTCCACACACTCCTCTTCAGCCAAATCTAAGTCTATTTAAGCTCGTAACTGAGCCTTAACAGCTGTTTCTGCTCTTATGGGTAGGTGAATTATTCCAGTCCTTGTTAAGCTGTCACTCATTTTGACAGCGCTGCCTTGGTTTTTTTCCCCCCGCTGTTTTTATTAATTGCTTGTTATTGCCATCATGGGCTGTTGGATGGTTTTTAAAAAATGGACCTTTGAACAAGGAGAATTGGAGAACTTAGGAATTGCTTGCTGTCCCAGACTAGAGCTGAAGGAAGACCTTATTCACTGAATTTGAGAGAAAACACTATTACATATGCAAAGGTGATCTTTTTCACCTAATCCAAAACATGGAATGCAGTAATTGAGGCAAAGCAAAAAAGCATTTATTAATAGGGAGGATCAGATATTTTTATAGAGTACAGAAACAAATGATGGATACATTAAGTACATGTGAAACATCAGTAAACAAATGATCAAACAGACATTGATTATATATGAGACTTAAACAATAGAAGACATTGATTCTCATATATTCCACAAGTGGCAGATTTATGGGTGACACACTCCCTGTCCTAGTCAAGTTTGTATCTCAACACTTGCAAGTATATTCAGGGACTTCCAGAATAGACTTTTGTGTAGTTGCTAAAAAAGCAAGTTCTTGACATACCAAAATGGCCTTGACTAAGAAGAGAAAAACATGCTTTCTTAAAATTATGAGAAGAGGCCTAGATTGCAATTGTTAAAAATGCATTGTTAAAATTGTTAAAAGTCTAATAATAATGAAGTCTAACATTCCAGGTAACAGTTTGTTCTCTCAAACTTTTTAATTCCCACCCCCTCCCTTTCTGGACTGAAAGGATTCTTGAATTTTGCCAAAAAAGAGTTCTGCAAATCTGATCGAACCAATCACCAGAATCATCCCCAGCTGTTGCCTAAAACTCAAGCATCCAGATTGGTGTAAAGATGAAAAATATGGTCTCTGAATTTGGAAAGAGACACTAACTTTGCAAAGTTCTTTTTTTTCACACATGCACTCCATGAGTCATGGATACTTCAGGCAAAGCAAAAGATGATTATTAAAGAGGGAGGGGGGTCAAGTTTTTGTAGATTACTAAAATGATGCTTTCAGTATATCTGATGCATTAGAAAACAATAAACAATAGAAGATATTAATTGGATATGAGAAATAGTAGAAAGTACTGGTTCTAGGTAACATTTTGCCAGCAAGAAATTTATGGGTTACATACATCATGCCTTTTCTGAGTCAGGTTTCTATGTTTTTTAATATTGGCGAGTGTATCCCAGGATTTCTAGAATATGCTCCTCATTTAGTTGCTAAAGGTTGATTTTTTTAAAATATTAAAAATATTAGTTTGGTTAAAAAGAAAAAAAACATGGTTTCTGGAACTTCAAAAGGAGGCATGGATGCCATGTTTAAATGCTAATATCATCATTAAAAAACTAATGAAACCTGAAATTCCAGATAACACAGCTACAACAAAGTTAAATGTGCTGTTACAGGGCAAGCTCTGCTTTTTCACATTTGTGTTGTGCATAAGGGGTAGCATTTGAAGTGTAACAATATATTTTATTGTCACATTCTGCAAACCTCATGCCAAGGTGGCACACAGATTTTAGAATTTTTTTATGCAATATTGTGAACCAGCACTTGGATACAGCTCTTTGTACAGATAAATGGGCTACAGCGCTGAGACTGCTTTGGTCGCACTGACCGATGACCTCTGGCGAGCCCAGGATAGGGGTCATTCCTCTATCTTGGTGCTTCTTGACCTCTCAGCGGCTTTCGATACATCGACCATGGTATCCTTCTGTGTCGTCTTGGGGAGGTGGAGGTGGGCGGCACCGTATTGAGGTGGTTCTCCTACCTCTCTGACAGGTCGCAGTCGGTGTTGGCAGGCGGACAGAGATCGACCCCTAGGCGCCTCGATTATGGGGTGCCTCAGGGCTCGGTCCTGTCCCCCCCTCCTTTTTAACACCTACATGAAACCGTTGGGTGAGATCATTCGGCGACACGGGGTGAGGTATCATCAGTATGCGGATGATACCCAATTGTATATCTCCACCCCGTGTCCTTTCAGTGAAGCAGTCGACGTGATGTGCTGGTGCCTGGAAGATGTGAGGGTCTGGATGGGGGTGAACAGGCTTAGACTCAACCCTGACAAGACTGAGTGGCTCTGGGTCTTGCCCCCCAAGGGTCATCCTGATGGTCCATCATTGGTCCTGGGGGGGGGGTAAACTTACTTCCCTCAGTGCAGGCACGCAACTTGGGTGTCCTCCTGGACTCACAGCTAAATTTGGAACAACATCTATCGGCTGTGGCCAGGGGGACCTTTGCCCAGGTTCGCCTGGTGTACCAGTTGCGGCCTTATTTGGACCAGGAGGCTCTACTCACAGTTACTCATGCCCTTGTCACCTCAAGACTGGATTACTGTAATGCGCTCTACATGGGGCTACCCTTGAAGAGCGTTCGGAGGCTGCATTTGGTTCAGAATGCAGCCGTGAGAGCAATTGTGGGTGCACCAAGGTACACCCATGTGTCACTTATCCTCCGCGAGCTGCACTGGCTTCCTGTGGGTCTCCGGATGCAATTTAAGGTGTTGGTTATCACCTTTAAAGCCCTTCATGGCTTAAAACCAGGTTATTTACAGGACCGCATACTGCCACATAGTTTCCAGAGACCGGTGAGGTCCCACAGATTGGGCCTCCTTCAGGTCCCGTCGGCCAGACAATGTCGGCTGGCGGGCCCTCCGGGAAGGGCCTTTTCTGTGGTGGCTCCGACGTGATTCGAATTACTCCCATCTTGCCGGCCTTCAAGAAAGCCATTAAAACTCTCCTGTTCCGGCAGGCCTGGGGTTGATGTCCCCGGGGGTGGGGGGGGCGGGACACGATTGGGACATGCTGTATGAATGCACTCATTTTTATTGTTATATTTATTGTTTTAATTTTGTATGCCGCCCTGAGTCCCTAGGGATTGGGCGGCATATAAATTTTATAAATAAATAAATAAATGGCCAATGCTATACAACTTGTGACATCTCAGAAATTGAAATAAAACTCTGGGCATCTATTGGCCCTGATTCTTGGGGATGCTGGGAAGTGTAATACAAATTGGGGATTGCCTTTCACTGTGTTAGGTTCTCTCAAATTTGTAAAGTGGATCTGTTTTAATTCCCCCCCCCCAATTCTCTTGCAGATTATAGCCAGTCAGCAGCAACACAGAGGTAAATAACATTGGAATTAATTTTCTATTTATGAGTAACATGTTTATTATATTTTGTTTATCAAATTTAGCAAGTAAACTGTACTAATAACCATAATTTCTTACAAATAGTATGTCTAACCCAGTTGCACTTAGGGGCTAAAGTACAGAAAATTGCTTAAATTAACTATCTTAACTGTGTATCAAATGCATTAAAATAGTGTGTATCCATATCTTACTGATCCTTAGGGAATATTGCTTAACATTTCATTTATTTTAGAATATTCATTAAATTTCCTAATGCAATTTGATAACAGGATGACCCCATAATGCTCAAGTTTCCAAGGGCTGTTGGAAAGCCATTAAAATTGTTCCAACCATAGAGAATATTAAAGCTGTTTTTAAAGAAGTTTATAATGTATTGCCTATTTCTGAGTATTTCCAGAGTTACACAGCACATTTGTGGAGTTATCAGCTATCTTGGAAATGCACCTACAACTTTTGTAATTTAAATGGAGTACACTAGATATACAATGAAAAGCAAAAATACAGTCTGAAAGTTAATTGTGGAAATAAGTTCCTTACTTGGCTGATTTTTATCTCTTCTTTTCCACTAGTTATGGGGCCTACCCAACTCCACCCACACAAGGTTATTCTCAACAAACTAGCCAGCCATATGGACAGCAGAGTTATGGTGGCTATGGGCAATCAGCGGATACTTCTGGATATGGCCAAAGTAGTTACAGCTCGTCTTATGGTCAGACGCAAGGCTGTGAGTACAGTAGTCTTTATTTTTCAAATTCATAACTACATAGGAAAATGTGAGAGATCAGTTGAGCTGGGGAAATAAGTGATTCTGGCTTGTTTTTTCCAAGTCAGTTCTATAACACGCCAACATATAGACTTGGTTTATAGAGGCAAAAGTATGAAAATGACGCTGTTGCATCCCATCCCACGATAAGGTTTGGTGATAATTATTGCAATTTCTTTGCTTGTTCACTAAAATGATAGAATTTGATTTGGGATTAGCAAAATGACTACCTGTAAGGTTGTGAGACCTTTTGTATTTCCTCACTTGGCAATGGTATCTGTTCATTAAAACATCCCTGTTAAGGCTGTGCTGTACTTCAGAAGCAAATGCAGCACCCCTCTGCGTTATTAAAGTAACCGTGTCATTTTGCAGGATGATATAGCTATTGTCGAAAGGCTGATGCAGCTACGTTGTCTTGGCAACAAATATCTCTTTAATGGGTTGTAGGCAGGTGTTGTGTTACATGCTCCTGCATATTCCAAACAAATATACTTTTCGAACCAAATAACAAACTCTTGTATTTAATTCAAAACTATAAGTAATGGTAGGAAATCCTGCAGCCATTCATATGACACCAGATTTAATGCTGATTTATTGCTGAACTCCCCTTCCCTTCTTGTTTTAAACATAATAGCTGGATATGGCACTCAGTCCACACCACAAGCTTATGGCTCATCCACAGGATATGGCAGTAGTCAGACTTCACAGTCGTCCTATGGACAGCAATCATCCTATCCCAGCTATTCTCAGCAACCAACCAGTTCCAGCACTGGAAGGTAAATGAGCTAATTCCTTTTGTTGTTGTTGTTGTTGTTGTTGTTGTTTTCTGTTCAGAGTTGTGGGATGGGCCTGGAGATGGGAACCTGAAGAATCCTAATAGGATAAAAACATGAGCGTACTTTGAATGAGCTAGAACGGTATTATTTACGCTTGTTTTTTTGTGTGTGTCTGTGTGTGTGTGTGTGTGTGTGTGTCTGAAATCTGCAGTTATGGCACCAGTTCCCAAACTTCCAGTTACGGGCAACCCCAAAGCGGGGGTTATGGCCAGCAGTCAAGCTATGGCAGCCAGCAGCAAAGCTCTTACGGGCAGCAACCTTCCTACAACCCACCTCAGAGCTACGGCCAGCAGAGTCAATATGGCAGCAGCAGCAGCACTGGAGGAGGTGGCGGCAGTTGTGAGTAGATTTTTTTTTTAAACTCATTGTCCTTCGATTCACACATGTGGCTTCATCTTGGTTTAAATTTTGGCAAAGGGGAAGTCTACAGAATATAATGTCTGATTCCGGTGAGATGGGGAGTAGGACCACTGCAAGAATTTTATTCTTCCTACTCGTGTTTTCTTATTGTCGGAAGTCAAAGATCATGTCGTGTAATCTAAAGTGGGGGGTTTTTTTGTTCTGTTTTTCCTTCATTCTCCAGCTGGTGGCTATGGCCAGGATCAATCCTCCATGAGTGGAAGTGGTAGTGGAGGAGGCTATGGCAGCCAGGATCAAAGTGGATACGGGTCTCAACAGGACCGCAGCCGTGGCAGAGGCAGTGCAGGAGGAGGTGGCGGCGCCGGATATGGTAGAGGTGGCTTTGATCGGAGTGGTGGTAGAGGTGGCAACAGAGGTGGCCGTGGAGGTGGCATGGGGTAGGTGTCTAATAGGTTGTTGTGGTAGAGGGAGCGGGTTTTTAATTTTTCTTCTTCTTAGTATTTGAAAAAAGCTAAGTGTTTCTGGGAGGGTACAAAATTTGAAAAACGAAAACAAGTTTTGGTGGAAAAGGCTGGGAAAACCACCTTGTACACAATTGGTGTGCCTTTTTTTTTTTTTAATCCGGGGTGAATTCTTAATGGCTGTCAAAAAGGTATTCTGTTACCTGCATGTGAAGGAGTTAAAATTACTTTCTGACAAATCAGTCATTACAGTAAACAAGTTGGTGCATGGGGTCAAATACGGTATTTTCATCTTGTAATCCTACCTGGATTTGTTGACCAACCTCAAAGGTGCACTTGATATGAGTATCAGTACCGTTCCTCAAAGGTGGATTATACTTCTCTGTGACACGTGTTACAGTCGTGTACAAGTACGTAGAGGATTCTCATACTACAAAACACAATACTACTAGAATTTTTGCAGAAAGGAGATTGATAATAGGATTGTCCTTCAATTCCACCCCAGCGTAAACCTAACGAGGGACATGGAAGGGGGCATGGTTTATATGCTGATAGCAACTTGAGGTTTCTATGATTGTTTCAGCAACATGCTTCTGGGCAAATTGTAAGCCAGCTTTCCTTGGGGTGAATGCTATGGTTTAGCCATGTAATGGCTGTCAAAATTGGGTTTAAACGGATGTGTTCATGTTTACTCATTTCTTGTACTTGTGGTTTACGAGTGACCATGTAGTATCCTCAAACTGTTCTCGGGTACTTGTACTGCCTCCTTTTTTTTTTTTTTTTTTAAATCAAGGGGTGACTAAAGTTGGTATTTGAAAATAATTGCCAATGATTGCTAAGCAACATTGACCATGTGGGGTTCTGATTGGGGGAGACAAGATAGTAGAGAGGTGAGTATAGATCTGGGTAGTTGAAGGGTTGTTTGCTAATGAAAAGTTGTTGCTCTGTTAACAATACCTGCTCTGTTAACAAATTCTGCATTTTGTGTGCCACAGGTGTGAAAGTCAATGAACTTTAATCAAATCTCCACCTTCCACATGTTAGTTAAGGGTCTGAGGAAGGGAGCGAGATCTTTAATGGCAGGCAGATAATGCAGTGTTTAGAGCTGAGTGATTTAATATTATGAGTATTCTGATGAGAGAATGGGTTTTTATACATGCTTTCAAAGCAGATATCTGCATGTAGGATTGTATACAACAAAGGCTTTGCAAAAAACAATAATTTGAGAAAAGTGACCTAGAAATACAGTGTGCACGGTATGCAATATTTTAAAAACAAGCTTGGTTCACCAGTCATGCCAAGACTAGGAACACCTACAAGGAAAACAACTTTGTCCCAAAAGCTGCATCAGGACGCCACATGTAACGGGTTCAAGATCGGAAGCAAGATTGACTAAACATTAGCAATTGCAAACCTTTTCAAGGGTATCATGCTTTATTTAAAAAAAATGCTGAGGGCAAGAAAAAGGTGGAGCAGGTTGTCTTTAGATCTTCAGGAAGAATCAAACATAAGTGTTGGCCAGCATCTTAATGGATATGGTGTAGTTTCTAGCAACAAACCTTTTTAGCCATGGAAAAAGCATCATTATCTTCTAACTTATCTCCTCAGCGGTGGTGAGCGAGGTGGTGGCTTCAATAAATTTGGTGGTAAGTCCAAAGAGTTCAAAAACTTGAACCACAAAAGTGTATTTCTATTATATTATTTTTCGGAGACTCTGTTTGTATGCCAAAGAAATGAAAAGCCACCGTTTATCAGATTAAAAACCTATGGGAGCACTCCCTGTTGTGGCACATATGCCAAAATGGTTGGTTGTATCTGTGGTGCCGATTTCCACGTTCTGGGTTTTCTACTCAGCCAAGTTCTTCGGGCCAATTTTGGTTGTATGTTATGCAACAAGACTGGAAAAAATATGAAACCTAGACTTGTGTTTTGTGGGAGAACACGTGGAAAAATTCACTTCATAAATGTTGGGCTTGTGTGTTGTCCCTTGTTAGAAACACACATGCAAATGTTGGCTTAAAAAGTGTTAATGGAAGTGCATGCAGTCCTGAAGAAACATGGAAAAAATGAAGGTTTATGTTACCTTGTTTAAAAAAAAACTACTGGTACAAGAAGGAAATGCGAGGGGCCGCTCCCTTCAAACCGGAATGTATAATTTTGTCTGTATGAAACTCTTAAGAGCTCTTCGACACATAAATGTTTTCATGGGCTTCTATTTTAAAGAAAGTTTGGTTTTAATATCATGAAGTTTCATAAAAGGTGGTCTTTTTTTTTTAAAACGTGAATGTACCAAAGTAAACTAATTGGTTTTAAGGAACGTTCCCATAGTGTTTGCTGAAAAAGGCTTGGCACAAAAAATTTTAAACGGTCTGCATAGGATTGTTAATGCATTTGAGACCAGTGTTGGGCATACGCTTTCAAAAGTAATTATGATTGGATGTGCTGAAAGGTGTCAAAATGTTTTTTAAAGAAATCTGTGTATAATATGTTAATAGAATGGTGGATGTGAGTAAAGATAAAGATGGTTTATCAAAACTAAAGATCTAATCTTGTAAAAGGACTTACTCAAAATGTGTTATGTGGTATAATGTGGTGTGTCTACTTAAAACACATAGCTCTTGTGTTCAAGAAAACGAAATGGAATAAGTTGCAGAATTCTGCCACAGGCCTCATGGTGCTGGAGATTTAAAAAAATAAACTGATCAAGGGTCAGTAAAAGACTCTAATGTGACTAATGTATGCTATGAAAGTGGAAAAAGTAGATTCCTCTGGGTGGTTTCGTCCCGTACCGTTTTGAGTGTGTCTCTGGAGGCCATGCTCCTCCCTTCCAAGCTGCAAAAATTAGGTTCTATATGTCCTGGCGGAAAGAATGCTTAAACTGGTTATGTAATAATCTCATCGTTAAGACATGGAGTGCTTCTGACTGGGCGGGTATGTTTTCCTATATTCTAATTGTGAGGCTGCATATGTTCAACACTGGCCTGTTTCTAATGTGAATCGTGATGGTGATGTGAAAAAAAAGGGGAGCCCACTCTCTGTCTAACTGAATCTTTCCTTCCTTGTTTTCATGTGACAAAAGGACCACGGGACCAAGGCTCACGTCATGATTCTGGTAAGTGGTTGTTTGACTGGTATACTCATGCCACTTAATAATCGAAACAAAGCTTTGAACTGATCACAAGTATTCTGTCTTAAGGACTTGTGTTCCTCAAGACCAGTGAAGCAGTGCTCAAGGATAACTTGAGACTTTGATGGGCATCTTCAAATGGGCCTTGTGATCTCTGGGATGCTTGTGAATACAAACTATTAAACTAGCTGATTTCAGTTGTGTTAAAAACCACTGTAGAAGAAATAAACTTTAACATAATAATGCAGGATTGAAGATTTTTGGTGGCATTTAACCAAAGAAATTTCTGTTCCCTTTGATAAAATGGAATGTGGAAATGGAATTGAAAATTTGTACAACCCAGAATGGTTTGATACTAAAGTGTTGTTTGGGATTTATTTTGTTTAAAAGTCTTAATTCTTTTCTTGCAGCTAGTGAGCAGGATAATTCTGACAATAACACCATCTTTGTCCAAGGACTTGGTGAAAATGTAACCATTGAGTCGGTTTCAGAATACTTTAAGCAGATCGGCCTCATCAAGGTAAACAAATACTCTGCACTATCATGGATCCCTTTAGCAATACGCTGGTGGGACTCCAGAGGACCACCATCTAGTTTGTGAATCACATATAAAGACAAAATTTGTGTTGCTCTTGAAGCAAGAAAATAGTTGATTCCAAGATGATTTCACATGTTTTTATTTGTAATGTTATCTTTCACCTAAAGGCTGGTTAACATTTTCATACTTCACAAGACAAAATTTATATAACAAACAGAAAAAAGGCCCTAAACATTTGGTGCTCTACTTAAGACTGGGGCTCCAGTGCAAAATGGGAACGCTTCTGTTTGTTTGCTTGCTTGCTTATTTGATTGATTGCTCTTTGTTGATTATACAGTAAGTGTCAGCTGCTATGGTTCTGTGTTTTTATTACTTTAATTTAAGCTGCCCGGAATCCTATATTTGAGATGGGGGACAGTCTCCAGAAATGAGCCGCAAACCAATATTGTCCCTAAATAGTTGTATGAGCAGGTATGGTAACATGAAAACGTCATTTGATCAGGATGTCATCTCTCCTGTCTTTTTAGATGAACAAGAAAACTGGGCAGCCTATGATTAACCTGTATACAGACCGTGAGACAGGAAAACTGAAAGGAGAAGCCACGGTTTCTTTTGATGATCCCCCATCTGCAAAAGCTGCCATTGATTGGTTTGATGGTAGGTCGCTGATTTGGAATTGTATTTTTATTGCTGGGAATTGGTCTGGCTGTGTTCAAGGTGATAGGATAGGATAGTGATGGCGAACCTTTTAGAGACCCAAGTGCCCAAACTGCAACACAAAACCCACTTATGTATCATCGGGTGCCGGATGAGTGTGGCCAATTGGGTGGGCGTGGCTGCGGTGGTAATGGCAGATTGGGTGGGACTAAAAAGTTCAATCAATCAATTCCAACATTGCGAGATTTTTTTTTCCTGCAAGAAATTGAAATTGATTGATTGAACTTTTTTTTTTTTTTTTTTGCACACGGCAGAGACCTAGAGCGAAAAGGTTTTATAAAACCCAGCTGAAGGACTGGGGCAACGGCGTGCGTGCCCACAGAGAGGGCTCTGAGTGCCACAGGTTCACCACCACAGGGATAGGAACTGTCTCAGTGTCATTGGAATTTAAATGAAATTAAAAAGTAGTGTTAATGATGAACACAGTAGTGGACAAAAGTGTTTTTCCCCCCAATTCTATAGGGAAAGAGTTCTCTGGCAACCCAATTAAAGTTTCATTTGCCACTCGGAGAGCAGACTTCACCCGAGGAGGGGGGAATGGCCGTGGTGGAAGAGGCCGTGGTGGTAGAGGAGGTGAGTAATGGAACTGAACTGAACTGAACTGAAAAGTAATGAAGCATCTGCTTATCCATCTTCTTGCCGTGCTACATATTATTGTCCTATTTTAAGAGAAGAGCAAGAATTGGTCCTTCAGCACAGCAGTGAAGGTGAAAGAAGGGGCCAAGTTAAGTGGTAGGAGGTGGAGATAAAATGGATGGAAATATCTTACAATGTAGTACTTCTTGACCTCAGCAATTGGAAGATGTTTGAAATGGCCGAGGTTGAGAAATGACTGTTAACGATGGACGAGGCAGTAAATCCTGGCAAGAAAACGTTCTTAGTTGCTGCCTTGAATTTTCCTTCAGGACCAATGGGCCGCGGTGGATTTGGTGGCGGCGGTGGCAGTGGCGGCGGCGGCGGCAACAGTGGCTCCAGTGGAGGCAACCGGGGTGGTTTCCCTAGTGGCGGAGGCGGCCAGCAGCGTGCTGGAGACTGGAAGTGTCCCAATCCGTAAGTTAAAATCTGTAGCAATTTGGGTGGCAGGGAAGACGGCAGCGAGTGGTGAATTTATTTGATTTATCGTGGCTTTCTTCCCATGATGTCTACTGTAGGACGTGCGAGAACATGAATTTTTCGTGGCGCAATGAATGCAATCAGTGCAAAGCACCCAAACCAGATGGGCCTGGGGGACCACATATGGGTGAGTATTAGAGAGTGCATCGGCTGCACTTAACTACTACAGTTCTTACCACCAGAGAAGCATCATCTGCAAGGAGTGAGATTTCTCGTTTGCGTTGGGTGGGGAAGGACACAAATGTACGATGGTCTTCGGCCGAGATAGTTTTTGTTTTCGTTTTGTGAAACGCGTAACATGCTTTGTCATGGAAAGGTCTAAAGATAGGAAAATAATAGTTGTGCTTTTGAGATGAGCAATCTCTTCTCTTTTCCCAGGGGGCGGATTTGGTGAAGAACGACGTGGGGGACGGGGAGGCTTTGACAGAGGCGGTTTCCGGGGAGGCCGAGGGGGAGATCGAGGTGGATTCCGCGGTGGAAGAGGCGGAGATAGAGGCAGCTTTGGACCAGGAAAAATGGACTCAAGGTAAAATTTATTTCTAGGAGTGGGATGGGATAAAAAGTCTCCCAGAGGCTGTATTAGGATCTGTATCAGGCTTTTCACTCCTAAACACCTACCAGTTTCACCCATAATAGCTTGCCTCTGGAGCACTGCTAACTATAGCTAGTAGTCACAATCTGTAATTTTAAATTGAATTTTTTTTTCCTTCTCACTCTGCAGAGGGGACCACAGACAAGACCGTCGGGAGAGACCTTATTGAGCCAACATAAAGATCCCAGACCATGTGAATTTATAAACTTTTTTTATTTTGTATGATGTCTAACTTCATTGCAGATTGTGTACCCCATGTTGAGTTTGTGTACAGACTTTGTATGCCTGTCCTATTTTTTTTTGTTGACTGTACTTGGACTAATCCCAGATTACAAAAATATATTTTAGTTGTGTGGTTGTAATTGCAAGGCGGGGGCGGACATAGAGCTGAATAATAAAGATGTTTTCAGTCAATTCTCAAAATAATTGTATTGGTTTCATGTCATGCAGGAAATGCTACGCCAAAGAGATTGCTTTAAATTCAGTTTGTCCTTCAGAGAGACTCCCAGGGCTAATTTTGTAAATTTCAGCATACATTTTTCCTGTAAAAGGTTTTTATAAATGTTCTGAGTAAAAACCAGTGTAGAAATGTTGGCATTTATTAGGCTCATTTGTTTTTAAAATCTCACATGTAAGAATACAAGGAACAGAGTCTCATTAAGAGTCTGATGTTGCCATTCTACTTACTTACATCACTGAAATTCCCATGAAGTACAGGCAGTCCTTGTTTAGCCGCCACAATTGGGACAAGCGGCTTGTGACACTAGTTGCTTACGATGTTACTTCAGCTGTTCTTTGCTTTACAGACCTGCAAAAGTTCTAAGTATGAGAACTGGTCACAAAGTTAACTTTTTTTCATCAGTGTTGTAATTGCAGATGGTTGCTAAAAGAGGTCTGCCTTCACCGAATGCAAAAATTGACCTTCACTGGCCTTTTTAATGTGTGAAGTGCAAATAATTGAGATTGTAACCTGGGCAGACCTTTGTCTATGCAAATACAGAAAGATGGGAATGTGGATGTACAAATAATCTCTCATCTTTACGCTGATTGTGTAAAATGGATGCAACTAAGGAATGAGGTAAAACGCCTACAGAAAGATGGATGCATTTTACAGTAAGTCTGGAAGAGGGAGAGCAGGTTCTAAAAAGGAAGAGGGAAAAACAATCCAGATTTTTTTTTTTTGACACAAGTTATCGGAGAAAACAGAATAAGCGTTGATAGTTTCCCTGTCAAGGACCAGGGAAATCAAGAGATCCATGCAGTTCCAAATGTGTATAAAGATTTATTGTAAGCTTAAGCTCTCTATAAGAATCTGAACTATTAACGGAAAAGGGTGATAAGAGAGGTGTTTAAGGTGAGCTGGCTCAGCCTGGTCATCTACATTCCCAACTTCCAAATGTATCAATTTCAATTCCTAGATCTCTCAGCAAGAGTCAAGCTGGCTGGGATATTAACCTCAACAGGATTACATAAATCAGTGGTGCCCATTGTCCAACTGTTCATACAGAAGAAAGATTATGGCCTTAGTTGCTGGTATAATTATAGATGTTGCAATTGAATATTCTAGACCTTCCACTTAGCAGTTCTTGCCTTTGTAGTGTAAGTTTTTCATTACCCCCATCTGTTTATTAGATTTATATGCTGCCCATGTCATCTAGAGGTGTCTCTGGGCAGCTTACAAACATTAAAAAGTGGTAAACATTAAAACGATTAATAAAGATGAGCCATACGCTGTATTTTTGTACGCAGAAATTGGCTTAAGAGAATACTTGCTTGTAATCATTTGAGAATTTGGTTTCATCCTGATTCTGACCCCCTTCGGTAATCCTTGCATCCCTGTTGAATCAATTAACCCAATATTAAAACCCTTCTTCAGGATCGATCCTTAAACATTCTTGCACAAGATCACGATCCAGTTCTATCCTGTTGGTCCAGGTCTGTTCCATTTCTCTGTTATTTAGAAAAGAATATCAGAGAAAGTAAAGCTAAAGCATCCTCGATTCCAAGCATTTGGGTGTGCATCAGATAAACTAGTTTACCAAGGACTTCAAACTGGCTCGTTTACAAATGATCCGACATTTCTTTCAGCCCTTCCTTAACTGCATAAATTTGGTAGGCAATAACAGCTCAGAAGAAGTCGGAGATCAAACTGGGCCATACAAACAGGATAGGGGGGAAAAAGGACATTGTAGAATTTGGTGTAGATGACACAGTATTTTTGCCTGAGGTAACATCCTATCCTTGGGTGCACATATACACATGCGCACGCACGCTCACACACTTGTAAGTCAGCCTGATACTCACCCTGGAGATAACTGCATTTCAATGCTGAGAACAGATCCTTTTGTAAGTACTTGTTTCCGTCCTTCAGGTTTAATAAGATACCATGTGATTGTCAATTATTCAATTACTGGAGGCCACAATGTTCTGTAATGGTGGATTTCCGGCTGTCGGAGAACTGGAGACAAGTTAGGATTATGTAACGACACAGAGGATGTCACTAATATTAACCCTGTGCATTCCATCAATTCCCTTTGTGACTAACAGCTGAGTAAGGGGGATCGTGGCAAAGCAGGTGCTCCTTTGGGTTACACAAGGGTGAGGTGGAAGATCAAAGGGTAGTGACAAGCAGAAGAGTTGACAGCAGAATAAGATCAATTAAGCCCAGTAATCCAGTTTTAAATTCTTCAGCACGATCCCATTAAATCAGCTTGAGTTGTCCTTTATCTCTGCCTCAATAAACTTGCTGTAGAGGAAAAAGTACACTTGCCCTGAGCAGTGTTATAACACAGGTTTCTTAATTATGATTTATCCCATCTTTTTGAAAGAGGTTTTCTGAATATTAAGAGTTAATCTAGGGAGAGCCAAGTTGGATCTTTCAGCTTTGGAAAATTATACTGCTTGGAAAAGGATGACTGACTGATTACAAGACAGGCAAAGAATTGGGTGGGTGAATTCTCTGTGAATTCCTTTTTTTTTCTTTGCAGGCCACTGAAATGGAAATTCCATTCTTTTCTATTTTCTGCTTGATCTTTCCCATACCTTAAGGCAGGTATATCACATTTAGCAAGCAGAGCAGTCAGAAAAACTACCACTGTAGTAATTACTACCCCAGATTATTTTCCCCCAAAGAGATATTCCCTGGACACAAAGCTCCAATCTGCATCTGGTCTTGTAAAACCAGTTTTTGGCGACCGCCACCCTTGGGGGGAAAAATGGTATTCTTGGTCAAGATCAAGACCTGAGATAAATCCCTTGATCTCAAGTCAAAAGAGTTTTGCATGAGAAAACTGGATTTGCCAGTTGCCCTTTGCATATAATCTGCAAAAGGTTGTAAGGCAGTGACTCCTTTAGGTCAAGAATTCGAAAGCGGAGAAACAGTTTTCTGCAAGAGTCAGTAGACATAGTACTAGAGTCGCCAAGAAGCAGAAGATAAATTCATTCACACCTGTTCATTTAAAACAGTGGTTCTCAACCTTTCTAATGCCGCGACCCCATAATACAGTTCCCCATGTTGTCGTGACCCCCAATCACTTATACATCACCATGTGCCAGGGGCATGGCCAAAGGGGGAAAAAATGGTGGACAGCCTTGTTTGGCGACCCCCGTGAAATGGTCATTAGACCCCAAATGGGGTCCCGACCCACAGGTTGAGAACCACTGATTTAAAACAAAAGATTCTTTGAAGCTTCAGTTGGTCAAATGGTTCAATCCAATGATATTGTCCAGCTAAGAAGATAAATTATCCTGGCAATAGAAATTTATGTTCTTTGGCTTTTTCTTCCCAGATAGGCAAGTCTGAAATATCAGCCTCACCTGAGAAAATTTAGGCAGCCCTTACATACTTGTACATATTTTTTTTTTTCGATTTGTCTTTGTCTCTCAGACAAGAATTTCTATTTGAGCCAGCTCTGGGTCAAAGGAGGCATGGAAACTTTGCAGAATGCTCCAGCTTGGCTTTGTAGCCTCCAAAAGGAGTAGAAAAACACATCCCATTGTCATGTTCTTTTGGGGGTGTGGGAAGTCATCCCCCCAGAGAAGGAAATATTAAAAGGGGAGAAAAATATATTTCCTCAAAGGATCTTAAAAACGCAGAAAAGCATGCCCATTTTTCTTAATAGCTCCAGGTCTCCCTCCCCAAAGCAGAAACTAGCTCTGTACAAATGCAGATGGAGACTATTCAGGAAAGTTGGAGCTAGAAGCTTAGGAAGACAAAGACACCTAAAATCTACATACCCCACCCAAAGTGTTAAGTCAGGACATAATAGGATTAACTCACAGATGCCAAAGGGACAGAGGTCAAAATACATGACACAAGAAATACAAAGTCTCAAACAGGAACAAGAAATAACCTCCAAACAAAAGGCTCCAGACGGTATAAAAACCCACTCCCTACATGTGCTGGGCCCTTTTTCTCTTTTTTCTGCCAGACCCATCTTTCTGTCTGGCTCTCCTCTTCAATAAACTGCAACCTTCTTTCTAAAGCAGTCACCATGATGTTTATCCCCGGCTTGGACTGAACCACGATGAATACTTTTCTTCCAACGGGGATCCAGAAACCACGTGAGAGCAGGGCCTTCATGTGATTTCCAGGGGGTCTAGAGCACACCACATTCTTATGTGGCCTCTGGAGCTTCTGAAAACTCTGTGTGCTTTTGGGAGGCTGCAGGCGTTACACAGTGTAGTGTGCTCTTTCTTGCACAAACTCCAGACTCATGGAACAGGACAACTTGCCATGGCCAACTTGGCACAGCCAACTCACCATGGGACAATTCAATAAATGCAAAAGTTAAATTAATTTCAACGGAACGTGGCCAATAATAATAAAGTCAATCCAGAAATACAAGAATTAACAATAATTTTGATGAAAACATGGTCGCCAATAATAAAAGTGAAATACAGTGTTGAATTGTCCCGTGGTGAGTTATCCCATGATGAGTTGGCCTTGGCGAGTTGGCCACAGTGAGTTGTTCTAGACCCCTCTAGTAATCACAAAACAAGGCCCTCTTCTTGCATGGCCTCTGTGGCCTCCAAAAATAAATTAACAAGTGCCAAAAAATTGTACGTTGGATTCATGCAAAAACTAGAAAGGGATTGGCTGGTTGGTTTTAGTTCTCTGTGATTTGTGAGCTCAGCTATTATGGTCTGTAAACTACAGATTGCAGCTTAATGCACTATGTGGGCCTATCCAATTGTAGATTGTCCAATAAGCCATGGTTTCATACAGCTTAACTGATGGCAGGCAGGTTTCTGGCCTCTGCTTAAATGCCTCCAGCAAAACAAGGGAAATCTACTATAATGTGGAACAACGCTTAACTAGTAAGATGTTTGTCCATCCAGAAATAAGTGACCTCCAACATCTACTTTTTAAAAGATAAATCTTTGCTTCCAGTAGGATGTCAACTAAATTAGTGGTCCTCCAGGGGCCCTAGGACAGGGCTTTTCAACCTTTTCACCCATTGTACCACTTTTAGGATATGGCAATATCTGAGTACCACCAGTCGCCTAGCAAGGTGTCGAAAACTTGATGACAAAAAAAAGGAAAAAAAGTGATAAAGTACAGGTAGTCCTCGACTTACAATAGTTCGCTTAATGACTGTTCAAAATTACAATGGCACTGAAAAAAGTGCCCCCCAAGCACAGCCAAGCAAGATACCTGCCTGCCCACCCGGCGGCGCTCTTCCTCCTGTCCGAGGTTTTCATTGTTGTGAGCATTTCTGTTGAGGACTGGTGGGGGGGTGGGGGGGTGGTTTTTATTCCGTGGTTGCAGCAGGTTTTGGTCACTTCACATGACCCTGGGACACTGTGACCCTCATAAATATGAATCAGTTGCCAAGCATCTGAATGTAAATCACAAGACCCTGGAGATGCTGCAACATTCCACCTGATCGGCACTTCTTCTGGGCTCAGCAGAAGCACCAGGATCAGTGCTGCTTTCCAGCTGATAGGTGCTTCTTCAGGGCTCAGCAGAAGCACCAGGATCAGCGCCGAGCTCCAGCTGGAGCCTGGCGCTGATCCTGGTGCTTCCACTGACCCCTGACAGTCCCGAAGAAGCGCTGATCCTGGTGTTTCCACTAAGCCCTGACAGTCCCGAAGAAGCGCTGATCCTGGTGCTTCCGCTAAGCCCTGACAGCCCTGCAGCTCCAACCATCTCTCGCTCAGGCTTGTGCGGTGCTGCCACCAGTTCAGCTCATTCCCCTCCCTCGCTACCACTTTTCTAGGATGGTCGCGTACCACCTGCCAGGTGCCAATGTACTACAGGTGGTACCCATACCACTGGTTGAAAAACTCTGCCCTAGGATATATCAAGGGGGCTATAGGCAGGGCACAGAACAACAAAGTGTATTATATTACAAATTTATTTATTTATTTTATGAGACTTATATACCGCTTTAAGTGCAAGCACTCTCTAAGCGGTGTACACCAGTAAGCAATGTATATATATATTTTACATTGCCCCCAACAATCTGGGTCCTCATTTTACCTACCCCGGAAGGATGGAAGGCTGAGTCAACCTTGAGCCGGTGAGATTTGAACCGCTGACCTGCTGAACATAGTTAGCTAAAGTGGCCTGCAGTACTGCAGTCTAACTGTTGTGCCACCTCGGCTCGTGTCATTGACTGTGTCATTGACAACCAAAACTGCACTAGCTGTTGCCTGACGTTCCTATTTAGTGATACGGGCTGGACAGGATTGGTGGTGTTGGGGATAGGAGAAAAACAAAATTGGAGGGGGGCCAGAGGGGAAAAAAGTTGAGAAACATTGATCTGCATTTCCCCTGGAGATGCTGCAACATTCCAATTTTATTATATTTCTCTCTCTCTCTTCCTAGCAAACGCTTGGGGTGGTATACAGAGAATTTCCCCTGCCTACTTTATCACCCCAAAAATGCTATGAGAAAGATTTGATGCAGTCAAAGATCACCTCAGTATTTTCTCCGTGAAGCAGGGAGCTGGACCCTCACTGTTGAGACTCTAGAAAGAGTACAGAGAAGAGCAACAAAGATGATTAGGGGACTGGAGGCTAAAACATATAAGGAACGGCTGCTGGAATTGGGTATGTCTAGTTTAATGAAGAGAAGGACGAGGGGGGACATGATAGTAGTGTTCCAATATCTCAGGGGCTGCCACAAAGAAGAGGGAGTCAAGCTATTCTCCAAGGCACCTGAAGGCAGGACAAGAAGCAACGGATGGAAACTAGCCAAAGAGAAGCAACCTAGAACTAAGGAGAAACTTCCTGACCGTTAGAACAATTAACCAGTGGAACAACCTGCCTCCAGAAGCAGTGAATGCTCCAACACTGTAAGTTTTTAAGAAGAGACTGAAGAGCCATTTGTCCGAAATGATATAGGGTTTCCTGCCTGAGCAGGGGGTTGGACTAGATGACCTCCAAGGTGCCTTCCAACTTTATTATTATTATTATTGTTGCAGAACAGAACATTAATTAAAGATGACGAATCTGCAAACTTTCCATTAAGGCCTCTCTGTTACCCCAAAAGACAGAACTGACATACTCTATCCATACATGGAGAATGGATTTTAAAATAATGGGGCAAGACCTCTTATTTTCTCCCCTTCATAGCAAATGGTGTAGATCATAAAACAGTCTTCAAGGGGGAAGTGTCCTTCAAATAATAAGATAAAAGAGTTGGAAGGGACCTTGGAGGTCTTCTAGTGCCACCTCCTCCTCAAGCAGGAGACCCTATACCTGTGGTGGCAAACCTATGGCACGCGTGCCACAGGTGGCACGCAGAGCTCTCTCTGTGGGCACACGTGCCGTTGCCCCAGCCTCGCCTCCCCCCGTGACCCCTCCTCACCAGCAGCCCCCCTGAAGGAGAGTCGCCTCTAAGCGTGGCCCACGCAGAGCAGTGCAGCCAAGGCATGGCAGCCAGGCAGCGTAGACAAGACTCTGCCCTCACACCCCATCGTGCACAGTTGATGTTGCAGGGTGCGGGCAGAGGGCGTGACCGCCATAGCGCTGCTGGGCTGCCTGGGCGATCTGCGGTGGGCCCTGGAGGTGGTGAGTGACCCTGCGGGCAGGTGAGGTTGGGGATGGGGGGGCGGGGGCGGGGGCGGGGCAGGGGGTGGAGCAGGGGCGGGGCCAGTTTTTGGGCACTCGGTCTCTAAAAGGTTTGCCATCACTGCCCTATACCATTTTTGACAAGTGGCTGTCCAATCTCTTCTTAAAAACTCCGGAGATTGAGCACCCATAACTTCAGAAGGCAAGTCGTTCCACTGAGTAGATAGTAGATGATAACATGAGAGTAGATGTTGAGAAATGGCATCAGAAGCAGAGAAGTGTACTCATCATTGTGGGCATGCTCATCACAGCAACCTTGCGTGCAAGTTTAGGCTGATAGTGAATTGTCCAAGACCTGTTTTCCGAACTGATTATGAACTTTTTCCACAAGGCAACACTTGAGCCACCCACATCACCCAGCTCCTAAACACAAATCTCCTTTGCATCCGTCTAGCACAGACATGTCAAACACACGGCCCGGGGGCCGGATGTGGCCCGCGAAGCGGTTTCATGTGGCCCGCAAAGCCATCCTGAAAACAGTGAGGGAACGGCCCCTTCTGCCTTGGCCCTGGCCCAGGCCAGCTGGGAGCCAATATACAATTTTGTGGTGGCCATCTATGCTGAAACGCATTCAGTCTTAGCTCCATAAGCCCCCTCCCCCCTGCATGGCCTGAGAGGAACAGTGAGGCTCCTCCACTGGACCATGCCTTGGCCCTTGCCCCGGTCCCACCCCCTTGTGCCAGAGACCCTCAGATCTATCCCACTCCTGCCCAGGCCCCCACAGGCGACCTTAACACGAATGATGTAGAGCTGGCCACACCCACCCAGTAGGCCACACCCATTCCATCCATGCCCACCCAGTAGGCCGCACCCACCCTGGCCACACACCCCCGGCCCCCTGAGGGCAACCGCAATGCTGATGCGACCCTCAATGAAATTGAGTTTGACACCCCTGATCTAGCAAAACATAGCATACACTTTCAGAAGGCTACAGCTTCATCCAGATGTGCTGGTAAACTCATCTGGGAATGTTAGTAGCCAGGAATGCTTCTTGTCCCGAGGCTTACCTGCTGTGGCCAACAAGCTGACTCATGTGTCGCGAGACAGGAAAACTTTAATTTTCCTCTTGCTTCCTGACAGACATTGAGTCATTCCTTCGTGCGTGTCATTTGACCGGAACACAAAACTTGGGAACTCCTGGAATGTGTAAGGATTGAAACAGCCTCTCTGGGATTGTAACAGCTGACACCAGCAGATCTGTGGGCCAAGAAACAGAAGAAGAGAGAGGGTTATAGTAAGAGAAATGGGATCTGAAGTCCAAAAATACCTACTTCCTTCAATTCTGTCTGAGTCTACTTTCTTGTTTGCCTCATGGTTGCTATCAATGAAAGTATCGTTCTCTTTCAACCACAGATTGAATATGGATTCCACTAATCTGGCCTTTCCATTTACCAAAGTTTTTTGCACCTCTGTCCCTCTTCTCAAAGATGTTATCTCTGGCACCCATTTCTTCTTCAGATTCTTGATTCCCCACTCAAGTACCCCATCATCCCATTCTTATCTCTGAATCCAACAATAATCTTTCCTCCCTTATTTTTGTACTATCAATTGCAACTTGCAGGATTCTCCCAAGGCAGGGGTGTTCAACTATGACCCCTTTACAATTTGTGGACTTAAACTCCCAGAATTCCTGAGCCAGCCATGCTGGGAGTTGAAGTCCACAGGTCGTAAAGGGGCCCTAGCTGCCCAATCCTGCCCCAAGAGTAAATTTACCATGGTTCGTTCAGTTCTCTCCATTTTCGGGGTTGGAACGAAAAAACAGATCCATAAACTAATCGCAAAGGGTGGGGTTGGCCCATCAAATTGCCAGAACCACCCACCAAGGTTACAGTAACCTAAGTAATTTACTTAAGTAGTTTTTATGCAAACACCGTCTCCTATCCAAACATGCTATTTGTTCTCTAGAGTTCATATAGAAAATTTATTTCAACCGAGTTTCCGCTTCCTGCTTGGGAACTCCCTGTTTCGTCAACATTTATATTGCGGACTGTTTAGTTTTATATATCAGAAGATTTGCAAACATTTTTTTTTGCATTGGGACAAGAGTCATTGATAGAAGATAAATATTCAAAATAATAATTGTCGTACTGAACCAGACCCAAAGTCCACCTCTTCTAGTTTCTTCGTTCCCACAGCGGGCAACCAGGTGCTCTTGGAAACCGAAATAAAGGATTCATAAGGACAGGGGTCTCCAACCTTGACAATGTTAGGACTTGTGGACTTCAACTCCCAGAATTCCTCAGCAGCCATGCTGCTGAGGAATTCTGGGAGTTGAAGTCCACAAATTGTAAAGTTGCCAAGGCTGGAAACCATTACATAAGGACAGTCATGTCTCCTATCTCTTTGTTTTTAAAGGACTGGTATTCAGAGATTGATATTCTTTTGTGGCAGTTGTATAAACCATCATGACTCTTTTTAGTCATTTATTTAGCTGCCAGAAGTAATAATTCCTTTAGATGGCATACCTAATACTCAATGTTTATCTTATTTACATGGATGTGATGTGGGCCTTAAAACACATGGATAATATAATAACAAGATCTTAAGAGTTGTAACTGGGGCATCAAAGACCACTAAAACCAGTATGGCTTCCCAGATTGAGTTCATCTCTCATGTAGAATCAGCATGCAATTTGTTTGGCATGGGGTGAAGCCAGCACTGTGATTTCTAAAGCACGATTTAGGGCTTAACAACTTAACAGCTACAGTGATTCATTTAACAACTGTGGCAAGAAAAGTCATAAAATGGGGCAAAATTGACTTAGCGACAGAAATTTGGGGCTCAATTGTGCTGGTAGGTCAAGGACTATGTGTAATGTAAAGATAGTAACACAAAATAATATAGCTGTTCCACCCAAAATATCAATTTGGCGTATTCTCTCTCTTGTCAAACATCATCCACTTATCATCCATGGTGATAAATGCTTATATTTTGCAGTTTTCCTGCTCTTTAGAAGAGCATCACATCAACAATACCTTCTGAGAATCAGGTTGATGTAACAAGTTAAAAATGGAGTCCAAACATTTTGAATTCACCTCTATCCTTGAATGGAGCTATGGAAGTTTAGTATATTTTTGCTTCGCTTTCCATTTGTAAGCCTGGGTCTAAAAGTGATCTCAGAAGACTACTGTGTCAATTAAATTAATACTGGTTATCATAATGCAACTTTGAGGTTTAAGGTAGGAAACCTGATAGCCTTCCATCCAACCTGGCTTTTTGCCAGCAAATTGATTGCCAGCTTTTTGCCAGCTGCATTAACAGAGGGATAGAATCAAGATCACGGGAAGTGTTAATACCACTTTACAATGCCTTGGTAAGGCCACACTTGGAATACTGCATCCAGTTTTGGTCACCACGATGTAAAAAAGATGTTGAGACTCTAGAAAGAACAACAAAGATGATTAGCGGATTGGAGGCTAAAACATATAAGGAATGGTTGCTGGAATTGGGTATGTCTAGTTCAGGGCTTTTCAACCAGTGGTACGGGTACCACCTGTGTATATTGGCACCTGGCAGGTGGTACGTGACCATCCTAGAAAAGTGGTAGCGGGGGAGGGGAATGAGCTGAACCGGTGGCAGCACCGCACAAGCCTGAGCAAGAGATGGCTGGAACTGCAGGGTTGTCAACGCTCAGCGAAAGCGCCAGGATCCGTGCCGCTTTCCAGCTGATCGGTGCTTCTTTGGGGCCGTCAGGGGTCAGTGGAAGCACCAGTATTAGCGCCAGGCTCCAGCTGGAGCTTGACGCTGATCCTGGAGCTTCTGATGAGCCCAGAAGAAGCACCAATCAGCTGGAAAGCAGCACTGATCCTGGTGCTTCTGCTGAGCCCAGAAGAAGCACCGATCAGCTGGAATGTTGCAGCACCTCCAGGGTCTTGTGATTTACATTCAGATGATTCATATTTATGACGGTCACCTTAGTTCTCCTAGAACTAAGGAGAAACTTCCTGACAGTTAGAACAATTAACCAGTGGAACAGAAGCAGTGAATGCTCCAACACTGGAAGTTTTCAAGAAGAGACTGGACAGACATTTGTCTGAAATGGTATAGGGCAGTGGTTCTCAACCTTTTTAATGCCGCGACCCCCAACTGGTCGTAAGTCGAGGACTACTCAACCGGTAATAAGTCGAGGACTACTCAACTGGTGCAGCACCGTTTCAGAATTGGACTTTTGGTGGGCTCAGCAGGGCAGAGACAGCCTGGACAATTCCTATTGGCTTTTGAAAGCCAACAGAATTAGACTCTATTCAAGACCCAAATGGGGTCCCGACCCACAGGTTGAGAACCACTGGTATAGGGTTTCCTGCCTGAGCAGGGGGTTAGACTAGATGACCTCCAAGGTCCCTTCCAACTTTATTATTATTATTATTATTATTGTTGTTGTTGTTGTTGTTATTTTACAATCCCCATTGTCTCCAATCTGTCTGGAATTGTTATCCATAATTTTTAATTAAAGGCATTTTTAACGAAGTAAAAACCATGAGAGAGAATACAGCTAATAAAAAATATATCATAATCAGGAAAATAGAAAGAAAAGAAAGAAAAGGAAAAGAAAGATTATAAGGGAGATATTTCTGATCTTCTTGACAGTGGTTATAAAATTTTTACTTTGCTCCTCTTCTAGGGATACATTATTACTTCTTTATTTCCATAAGCTACCCTTTCTGATCTTGAAACCTCTAAATCAGAAGTTCATTTTTCTTTTTTCCATCAAAAAGTCCATAAAGGGTTTTCAGTCACTAATAAACAGTTGTTGATCTTTCTCTAATCCAACAGATTAATATGCTAGTTCTATTATCTTTATCAACCACTGTACTGCTGTGAATAGTTCAAAGTATTTCCATTTTTGCTCATACAATAACCATGCAGCAGTAATCATTTTTAAAAATAATCTTCCATGGGTGTTTTCTAATTGAATGTCTATTAATTCCAATGAGAAAAATCCTGGTTCCAGTTGAATGCTGATCTTTAAAAATTTTTGTATCATTATATGCATCTGAACTCAGCAATTTCTGCCCTTTCCACAAGGCCCCTTGACATGTCCATGTAGTCCACATTTCCAAAAGAAATTTGATGAACGTTCGTACATTCTAGACTGTTTTTCTGGAATCACACACCAACCTTTTATAAATATTCTCTTTTCAGTTATAATCTACATTACAGTCCTTTTAACTACATATTTTCCCACTGTTCCATCAGTATGTTGGAGACCATTTTATCATATAATCGTTCACTTCTGTTTCAGATTTCCATAAAAATCATCATATCAATTATATGTTCATCAGGTGTACACAGTTTGAGTTAAAATTCTGTCTTCTGCTGCTTAATTCCAAATGTCCAGTCATCTACCTTAAATCTTTCTCTTAGTTAGGCATACAAAAACTGCTGAAAGTTAAATTCCTCGGTAGCCAGTTTTCTCTTGATTTCATTTTATATTCCTGTTCTAGCAACTCTTGATAAGGTACTCATTTTTCTTTACCTGTTGTTTCTTTTCTGTAAAATGTTTCCTGTGCTGAGAGACATTTTCAGGTGCAGTCTGGTTTTATATTCTCAAAATGGCACTTCCAAAATATAATGATTCTTAAATCAGCACTTAACCTTAACTTTATCATACCACAGAAGACCTTACCTGAGAATTGTTATCCAACATATTTAGAAGTTGGACATTATAAACTGATCCAATTTCACATTAACTTCCAAAGCTCTTAGGCTGGCTTATTCCAGATGTGTTGAACAATTTATGAACGCAAAACATCATGGTTGAAGCAAGTGATCATGGGAGTTGTAGTCCCAGCCTACAGCAAGCTCCCTTCCAACTCTGTTATTCTGTAATGAGTCCGATATGGAAAGATATTGTTAAGAACTGTGGCAATCTACAGTGGCAAAAATGTCTATCTGTCATCTGTCTATCTATATCTATCAATCATCTATCACAGAAATCTGATAGCATTTTTTTAAACTAACAAATTATATTAGAAGGCAGCTTCATGAAAACTTATTCTTTTTAATAATAACACGCTAGTCAGAAAAGGTGCTGCTGGATTATCCTTAGATAACTGGGAGATTGTGATTATCTGGTTTACTTCTCTCACAAGTCTGTCGTGACAAAGAAAATTAGGGGACATCAAATATATCTGTTCACTTAATTCCTTGGGCCAAATGGATTAAGAAGGAAAATACAATCGGGACTTAATTTAACATTTCTTACTTTAGTGAACTTCAGAATAAATCGATACAAACAAGATAGATGGATCTTCTATAAATTTCAGACAAGAATGGAACTAACATCAAACAACAGGCAAAGCTGCTTGAAGTTGTTTCCCCTTAAACTGGCTATTTACCGTTATCAGAATAGTAGATTTTTCCTCATTCAACAGTTTGAAAAAAAAATCCCATTTGCTATTTAGCCGACATACGGCTCTATTCTCTTTGTTAAGCTGATAAGAAAGTATAAGCAACATCCTTATAGCATGACTCTAAGGCTGGCCCAGTTTCTCGGCTTTGCATCTGAATGATGAAATATCAGAGATCCCGTATCGGAATTATATAACAAAACCTGAAAGCTGGCCCTCCTTTAAGGTGTTAGTTTCTTTACTCGTCGAAGCTTCTCAAACTGTTTTTTCTCAGTCTTGGCCACTTTAAGATGGGTAGACTTCAACTCCCAGAATTCCCCAGCCACCCATGAAGTCCACCCATTTTAAAAAACGCTATTTTAGAGCCTGTTTGCCTTTTGACGACCATTACCCTTTCCACAAACCTTAGAGAAGACTCAAAGGGAAGCTAGCAGGGTGATCCTCACTCCCTTCAGATGCCTCTTCCCAAAAGCCCCGGCGGGGAAAACTCAATTTGGGGGTTCGTTGCTCGTGGACTGAAAAAGCCAGGGGTGGCTGGCGGGTTCTGCTTTGACCCCCCCAAAGCTTAAGCCAGCAACCAGGTGGCGGCGGCCGCCAGGTGAGGGAGGACGGCCCTTATGCAAATGAGAGCGTGTCTGCCACTTCTTACTGGCTCTGGCCCGAAGGACAGCCCTTCCCCGACAGGTTAGACGGCTTGTCCGTCATCGGCGAAGGTAGAGCCGCGAACGCCGCCTCCCGCCTCAGTGCACCTGCCTGCCGGGCTGTTCGAAGGATCCTCCCGCTGGGGCTCCCTTCGCCGCTTCTCTTCAGCGGGCAGCGTCGTCGCCGTCGATCCACCTGGGTCCCGCCATGGAGGGGCTGCGGGGTGGCCTGAGCCTCGCCGGGCTCCTGTCGTTGCTGCTCGTCGCCTGCGGTACGTAGAGGAGGCGAGAGCCGTCTGGGGCACCTTGAAAAGGCAGCGGGCATCTCCTCTTGCGTCCCGCGCACCTTGCAGTTTGGCCGCGGGCCACTTCTCGCGATCCCGCCCCGGTTTGGAGCCGAGTCTCGTTTGGCAGCAGAGCAGGCTTCGGGCTGAGTGGCTAACAGCCGCCGCAAGTTTCCTTTGGTGGGGCGGATCTTTCAAGTTTCCAGTCCTCAAGGCTTTAGGAGCCAAGTTGGTTTTGCAGCGCAGGGAGGGGCATCAAAAAGCATGTCCTTGCTTGGGGGCAGTGAAGAACTTGGTGGCTTGGATCGGAGAGAAGGGAGGTGGGCTCCATGCAGATTATGCTGGTGGCAGCCCTGAGATTCACCCCTGACCGTTGTATCCAGAAATATATTTCTTAACACAGAGAGATCGTAGCTTACCTGGGGTGTTTAGCTTTTAAAGCTTGATGCTTCTTGTGCCCAAGGCCGGGGTTGGTTGTTCCTGCCCACGGAAAGATTTCCTGCTTTAAGAAATCCTTTCCTTAATTCTGTTTCTCACGGTTCCAGGCTTAATTTGGATCGTCTTTTGAAAGATCTTCCCAAGGTGGTATGATCAGAAAAGAATACAGAATTAACAGAGTTGGAAGGGACCTTGGAGGTCATCTAGTCCAGCCCCCTGCTCAGGCAGGACGCTTGTACCGCTTGTACCGTTTCAGACAGATGGTTGTGCAATCTCTTCTTAAAAACTTCCAGTGTTGGAGCATTCACAGCTTCTGGAAGCAGGACTTCAGATTGAAGTCTTAAGCTAATTTGTGATGATTAAAGGAGACCCCCCAAACGTTGTATTCTTTGTTCTTGTTTTGAGTTGTATGGAAATGTGCTTTTAGTGCAGTCCTCTGCTAGAGGGGTGGGGTGACAGGTCTTCTTTCTGAATGCTTGGGCTGAAAAGCCCTCAACTCTTCTCGGGTTTTATTTTAGGATTAACACTCCTTGTTTTCCCACCCTTCTTCCTGAAACCAGCTTTTGAGCATGACTAGCAAAGGGTGCCTTGCCTAGAAGATTGCAAGGGGGCAAAGGTCTGTGCATGGGGGAAAACACAGACAGAAAGAGAAAGGGGAGGAAATGTTCCTTGGAATGTCTTAAGGAAGAAGAGTTGCCATCTTATTTCCCCCCTCCCCCCTCCCTCCTCCCCCTGTAGATTTCCTGCTTTTAGGAAGATGTTCCCCAAGGAAAGTTGCTTAGTTGTTACATCTCTAGCCCTGGAAAAGCTGCGCTGACTGTATTTTTTTGCCTGCCAGAATTTTAGAAGGAAAGCTGCAACACTACTCTGCGCTAAATATTTAAAAGGAAGGGCTTGTAGGAATAGGAACCTCTGGTCTGATGTGTTAAGATCCTTTTTAGTTACTCTTTGAAAAAGGTTTAACCGTTTGTGCGCAAGCTCCAAGCCTTCAACACCCTTTCCAACAGATGTAGAAATATAATGGTATCTGTTGGAGGTGAGAAGTGAGATTTTTTTTCCCCCTTCTCTTCCGGAGGGAAATGCTTTCTTGCAATGTGGAGGGGGGAGCATTATCTCCTTTTTGGTAGCTACACCCAAGTCTTTTACAAGTGATCCAGCCAATGGGGCTGGCTTCTGAACCTTGCATTATCTTCTTCCATCAACGCTGAAACTCAAATACACTTCGTAGAAGTGGCATTAAAATCCAAGTTGTTCCTGGAATGTTCTGCACGTGTGTTTACGTTTGTCTGTCCTTTCAAGCCTGCAGTTGGCCATGAGGTCTGTAATCAGACAAAATAAGATATAAGATGTTTTGCCCTCAGGGCTCACTCCGTCAGCAGTAGCAGTGCTCAGTCCTGGAACGTAAGAATAAAGTCTAGGTCAGTGATGGTGAACCTTTTAGAGCAGTGGTTCTCAACCTTTTTAATGCCGCGACCCCCAACCGGTCGTAAGTCAAGGACTACTCAACTGGTGCAGCACCATTTGCAGAATGGGACTTTTGGCGGGCTCAGCAGGGCAGAGACAGCCTGGACAATTCCTATTGGCTTTTGAAAGCCAATAGAATTAGATTCTATTCAAGAGAGTCTATTCTGTTGGCTTTCAAAAGCCAATAGAATAAAAGGGAGTAGCGCAGCTAAGGAAAAGGGGGAAAAAATGGCAGACTGCGTTGTTTGGCGACCCCTGTGAAATGGTCGTTCGACCCCAAATGGGGTCCGACCCACAGGTTGAGAATCACTGTTTGAGAGACCGAGTGCTCAAACCGCAACCCAAAGCCCACTTATTTATCGCAAAGTGTCAGGGCCCCATCAGCACTGTGTTGTCCTCAGGAGGGTGGGGGGTGACCGTGGCCCACTGGGTGGGCATGGCTGCGGTGGTCATGGCAGACTGAGTGTGGCTGAAATGGGCGTGGCCGCCTTGATATAGCCCATGGGGGGGGACTCCTGTGGGGGCTGGGCAGGATTGGGGGAGTTCCAGGGGGTCTCTGGTGGGTGGGGCAGTCGTCAGGAGGCTCGTCCTGTGGGGTGAGGCAGGGGTGCCATTGCTGTGGGGTAAAGCGAGGCAGGGGCAGCTACTGCCTGACACCATCAGCCCCTGCACACAGAGGCCAGCAAGCGCATGGGGGCGTGCTCTACCACCTCTACTCAAACTTGCTAGCCAGCTGCTTCACCTTCTTTGTGCTGGGTGGGGCCGCCACTCTGGGTGCCAGCGGTGGCCTAATGGACCTGCATGAGCTGGCAGTGGTGGCAGGCGTGCCCACAGAGAAGGCTCTGAGTGCCGTCTCTGGCACGCATGCCATAGGTTCGCCATACTGATCTAGGTAGTCCTTGACTTAAAACAGTTCATTTAGTGACCGTTCAAAGTTACAGTGGCACTGAAAAAAAGTGACTTATGACCATTTTTCACACTTATGACCATTGCAGCATCCCCTATGGTCACGTGATCAGAATTCAGATGCTTGGCAACTGACTTATATTTATGATGGTTGCAGTGTCCCGGGGTCATGTGATCTCTTTTTATGACCTTCGGACAAACAAAATCAATGGGGATATCAGGTTCACTTAACAACTGCAATGATTCAGTTAACTATGGCAAGAGAAGTTGTAAAATGGGGTAAAACTCAATTTACAACGGTCTCACTTAGCAATAGAAATGGCCTCAGTTGTGGTTGTAAGTCGAGGACTATCTGTAAACAGCATCCTTTTCTTGACCTTGAGTCACAACCTCCAAACTCTGATACAAAAATAATGGGATGTAATTTTCTGGAGTTTGATGCTTCCTTGTATTTTAGGTTGGCAAAGGGGGGGGAAAATAATTTCATAAAACATAAAGCACAAATTTAAATTACTCGAGATCTGTAAAAACTTATTAGTCAATAAGAAATCAAATTATATCAGGTTGGTTCATGCATTGCGTTGAGACATGATATGACTTGCTTAGTTACAGCTTAGTGAGATCCATGAACCCCAATCATGGCATGTAAACAGCCATTATGGTATGTAAACCAGCCATCATGGCATGTAAACCAGCCATCATGGCATGTAAACCAAAGTTTACAGTTTATTGCTAGGTTGAAAGAAGGATAGAATGGGTTGGTCAAACCATGATTAAAAGTAACAGCGACTTAGCACAATGTTAAAGCTAGCACCTGATTGATAGGGATTGTCCTGGATTGCTGTCTAATTTGGAAATGCGAAGGATTGAATTTAAGTCCTTCCTCATGCATTTTTTGACATCTGGCACTTAGTAGGTGTGGTCCTTTGGGGGCTATTTTCTTCCAAGGTTACTCTACCTCCAAAACAGGTGCAGGAGTTAAATGTTGAGTCTAAAAAGAGCTTCATGGATGGCGCTATTCTGAATATTCTCAGAGAATTTGCCAAGCACTTGGAGAATTCAGATTTTTCTTGTACTTGTGTTCTTCTTACTAACAGAGATGCCAAATGATAGGATAGCTGTGCCTGTTGTTGTTGAGAAAAAGCGCATTTGTTGAAATTCTACCTCCCAGGTCCACAGGGAAAGCAGAAAACAATGGATGTCTCTTGGCCTTTTTATTTCTCGACTTTAAAAAAAATGGTTTACAGGTAGTCCTTGATTTACAACAGTTCATTTAGTGACTGTTCAAACTTACAACTTCACTCCCAAAAGTGACTTAAGACTGTTTTTCACATTTACGACTATTGCAGCATCTCCAGGATCACGTGATCAGAATTCGGATGCTTGACAACTGGCATGTATTTATGACGATTGCGGTGTCCCAGGATCACGTGATTGCCTTTTGCAACCATCTGATAAAGTCAATGGGGAATCCAGATTCGCTTAACAACGTTACTAACTTATCTACTGCAGTGATTCACTTAACAGCTGAGGCACACAAGAAAGGTTGTAAAATGGGGCAAGCTCACTTAACAAACATCTCATTTAATAACAGAAATTTTGGGCTCAGTTGTGATGGTAAGTCGAGGACTACCTGTATTTGGAACCAGCCACGTCAGCATTTTAACACCCTGAGAAGTAAAGTTGGTTGTCATTTGCTCACGACTGAAGCTGATGGCTCTGAGAATAATAATAACAACAACAACAACAACAACAGACAAGCACCTGCAACATAACACCCAGACTTAACAATTGTCGATAAGAAAGACAAAAAAGTCTGGATAGTGGACGTGGCAGTGCCTGGAGACAGCAGAATAGACGAGAAAGAACTGGAGAAGATAACAAAATACAAAGACCTACAAATAGAAATAGAAAGACTGTGGCAAAAGCAAGCAAGGGTAGTACCAATAGTAATAGGCTCCTTGGGTGCAATCCCAAAACAACTGGAGCACCACTTGAACACCATTGGCATTGACAAATTCGCTATTAGTCAATTGCAAAAGGCGGCCTTACTAGGAACTGCTTCCATCCTGCGACGATATCTGTAATACCATCAAACATCCACATCTGCCTATCCCAGGTCCTGGGTAAGGACTCGATAGGTAGACAAAATGCCAAATCCAGTCTGAACATCTGGCTGA